TACTAGTAATTTTCTACGCTTATTTTGCTTTACACATTTTTTTCAGTATAATAATTTGATTAATTTTTAATCACAATTTTATGCAAATTGTGATTCATTTAGTGATACTAATCTAACTTTAGTGGTTATATGTTTTGTATTTTGAAATTGTTTTACCTCTAAATACAAATAGTTTTTAAATAATTTTTATTAATATAAAGTAGAAAAGTTAATTTTTCAAAACAAATATTTTATTTTAACTTGAAATATATTTTACTTAGAAGTTGACAATTTTAAATTATTTTTTGGATTTCTAATAACATTTTGCAAAACATCATTAGCTTGTCCAGCCATGCTAATGACATTCTTTAATTCGTTAAAATTAAGTTAAAAAGTTTACGTATTTATAATTAATGTTAATTCGTTATTTTTTTAAATAAATTAAATTAAAAGTGAAGTTGACGATATTTTATTAACATTGAACAAATGTTATTGAAAATAAAAATAAAATATACACTGGATAAAAAAAATGGTTAAAAATAAATATACAATGGACGATTAACAGTTTTAGTAGAAATAAAATAAATTTTAGGTACGGGTAGTATTTTATATAAGTCTACCTTAATATGTAATAACTTAATTATTCCATAGAAGTTAATAAATTTAAAATCAAATGTCTGAGTTACATCATATAATAGTATAAATTTTGTAATTTTTAAATTATGCTTACTTTTTTTGTAGAAATACATAATGTACTTATACATAGTTTTATACAGATAATATGTGTAGTTATTTTTTTTTATATTAATAGTTTCATACTTTAAATGTACCTGAGTAAATATTTAAAATAATAGTTTGGAAAAAAAGAATTTTTAAACATTTCATTAGAATATTTTTTATTCTGAATCTACAGTATTATAACATTATCTGAAAAATAACCTAATCGAAAGCAAACGAGCCCCATTTTCTGAAACAAGTTTTAAAACTAGTATGGTATTACTCAACAACAATTGATTAAAGAATGAGGATTTATCAGTGTACTCGTCTAACCTGAAATTTATCGAAGGGTTAATAGTGAATGGGGTAAAAATTGTTTTAATAAAACTAACATGATTTTGGTCGGGTACATTATATACATGTTATTTGAGTACGGGATAGTAAATTTTAAAATTTAAATTAACACTCCATGTAACTTGACGTTATAAAGTCAATTATGATTGCTTATAATTGAAATTAAATTTGAACTTTATTGCTGGAAATGTTTTGTTTTCTTCAAATGACAACATAATTATCCGATAATACATAGTTAAATATTTTTCAATACTTCCGTAACAATTTATCGACATATTTTGAATATATATGAATCAGTTTTACTGTAACAAGAAATTCACTCTTCTAATAATTGTATGCAACACGCGATAATGTGCTTGAGGCTTTCAGAAAACCTTCTGCTAAAATCAGAAGTTTGCAACGAATAAACGCGCTTTTCAAAATTTGTACCATGTGCTGTGTAACACAATATTGTGTGCGCACATTTTCAGTGTTATTAAATGCCTTTAGCTAGAATACATCTTGGAATTTTGATGATGTTTAACGTTTGTTAACCTCGAGTTCTTTATTCTTTCTTCTCAGCGTTGCCCCTTTTGAAATTCGTTTCTCCGGGTTACGCCTAACACGATAATTAATTGCACGGCTACCGGAAGGCTTGAAATTTACGATGATACACATACAAGCAAACATTCAGACTCATAAGGGAGCTATTTGTCATGACTGTACACGAGGCATGGGACCGAAACCTGATTTTGAAATTTCAGTAGATTTGGTTTCATTTAATAATCAAGCATTTTCCAAACTTGGGAATCTTTTGTATCAAACAATTTTCAATTTATAAAAATATTATTATAAATAGTAACTAATTATTCTATAAAAAATAATTCCTCAAAAAAATTTTTAAATTGGTTATAGATAGATTTATTTTTTTATTGAATATACACGTATAATGCGAAAATAAAAAAAAATTGAAGAGTTTATTTTATACTCAATATTATTTTATATGTTAAATATTTTTTCACAAAGTTTTCACAAAAAAACCATTATTGTATTTATTTATTCATATATTGATATTAAAATAATTTTTCCCTTGAATTATTTTCCAAAGGGAAATTATTTAGTTATGTAGTAAGCCTTTAAATTAAATAGAATATTTATATATGTATATCACACTATTTTACTTGGTTCTTGGATATATGTAGGTGTTCAGTAAGTAAGGAAAAGGGTTTCTATTGTCTCATTGTTTGTAACAATTAACTCGTTTCCTTACTTTTTGAACACTGTTTATAAAACTTTATATGTTTGTTGCATGTACATGTTCAATATTAAATATATTTAGTATATATTATTAGAGAAAAAATGTATAAGAATACATAAAATATTTAATTTTTATACTAAAAAAAAAGAGCTAATGAAATGTATGTAGTTTAAATCCACTCATCATTAAAAACCATTATACTTTTTATCTTTATTAAAAATTAAACGTTTTACCATGTAAATCCCTGTGCTAAGTGACAATGTCAACAGACTGGAAAAAGGTCGTGGTAAAGTTTTTTTACCATTTTTTTCTAAGTATCCCATGTTTATGTAGTAGGGTCCCCGAGCACGTGCCAGTGGTTTTTTTTTACTTGACGTGTACTTACCCTTTTTATCCAAACGAGCCATTTTTACAAGTTAATTTTTTGCAGATCGTTTACCTGCACAAATATGCTCAAAGGGTATTTTTTTTATACACAGATACAAACATATCATAACTCTTTTTGCATAAATTAATTTTTCCAACAACCAAAAACGTTTATTTATCTTAAATGATTATTAAGGTTGACAGGATTAAGTGGTATGCTTATTTTGTATTAATTTTCTCTCTGATTAAATTTCATCAAAACTTTTTAAAACTTTATATAACTTTTTACTTAATATAAATTAAAATAATGTTTTAATCATAATATATTTTTAAAATGTATAAATTATTTTATGTGATTAGACAAACAACTTATTCACTTTTCGAAATAAAGTTATATATTCTTATAGTATAAAATTGCATTTTCAATCGCAATATCACAAAATTGTTGAATTATGATGAATACATTTTAAGCAAAAAAAAAGTAAAATTAATATGATCAGTAAAAAAATCTTGAACTATGAGTACGTTTATCTATCCCTAAGACGAAAAATTTATATACGTGAGCGGCTAAATTTAAACATAAAAGGTAATCTGTTTTTCATAAACCACTCATTTACTAACAAAAAAATACAATATTAAAGAAAAAAATCATTTTTCTTTTTTACTTACATTTATTTCTTGATTTATCAGCTATTCACTTCTTCAAAGCATAATTCCTTATAACTTATGGAAATGTCAACTACATTTTTTTCAAATTACAACATATATACTTTAACTAACTAATAAAATATAACTCATTTAATTAAGAAAACAACTTTTCGATCAGTATTTCAGAAGTAACGATTTTAAAATATAGACTAGAGAAGGCGCGGGTATGTATATATCATGATATTTTTCGACTGCACCCTTCTCCTACCTACGTAAAAAAATGTTAACGACTTTTGAAGTCTCGTTATCGATCCGTCATTTTCTAAATTATGTAATTTCCTTTTTTATAAGCTGTTTAAACATGTATTTTGCCATTAAAAAAAATAAAGTTAACACTCCTTTAAGTTATGAAGGATGGTTCTATTAAGTAATTAATAGCTAAGAAATAAAAAAATATAAGTAACCAAAAATCTAAATTGTTTTGCATATGGTAATTATTTTGTGAGTAATTAAGTGGTTTGTGATGTTAACCACTCTTGTATAATTTAATAGCTTGAAATATGAAAGTATGACGTAAAAAATAGATGTAACCATTATAGAAATTAAGTGATTGATATTTAAATAGTACGAAAAATTATTTTACTGAACTTTAAGAAATCTATTTTAAAATTATTAATTTTAATAAATTTAATTTATTATAGGACGAATCGCTAAACATGTATCATGCAATATTTAATTTTTATAGGATAAAATATAACTCTTTCTTTATATTCTTTTCTTTTTTTATAAGAAATTTCTAAAGTAATTTCTATATTAGTTCAACTATCTACCTTTAGTTAATATGTGAATAAAGGAAGGAGGCGTGACCGNTTTGTGAGTAATTAAGTGGTTTGTGATGTTAACCACTCTTGTATAATTTAATAGCTTGAAATATGAAAGTATGACGTAAAAAAAAGATGTAACCATTATAGAAATTAAGTGATTGATATTTAAATAGTACGAAAAATTATTTTACTGAATTTTAAGAAATCTATTTTAAAATTATTAATTTTAATAAATTAAATTTATTATAGGACGAATCGCTAAATATGTATTACGCAATATTTAATTTTTATATGATAAAATACAACTCTTTCTTTATATTCTTTTCTTTTTTTATAAGAAATTTATTTATTATACTTATGTTTTTTTGTTTTACTCGTTAGCCTGTTCAGTAAAATTGAAATTTATTTTTTGTCAACGAGTAAGATGAAATTTCTAAAGTAATTTCTATATCTATCTACCTTTAGTTAATATGTGAATAAAGGAAGGAGGCGTGACCGTAGTCGGCGGGATATTCATCTACCGTGCGAATTTGAACTCAGCCTTGAGGCTGAACCCAACTGAGTAGCTATATTATTGTATGTTAAAAAAAAACAAACAATATATTAGCACCATCAATTTTTTAGTTTTCAATATTCACGTATCGTCATATTCGACCACTGCGATTCATCCCCGGGGGCTTAAAGACCTTGGCCGATGAAGCCAAAGGTCATAGTTATGGGGTTGTGGAACCAGATGTCCAGCAGTAGAATAGGAACGAGTAATTCCGGTCCCACTATGGAATATACAACAAACGTGTTACAATCGATAAAACTAGTTCGATATCCTTTCGATTCTCAGGATAACAATAGGGAAAAACTGGATTGACAAGAACGACCAGTATCCCTTCGGCAAAAACCCGATTCAGCCGTTTTTTACGATTGCTCACGTGGCGAATACTATCGGTTTTGAATATTTAGGTTTCAAACGTTTCTCAACCACTGGAGCCGATAGTCACACCATAAGAAACAATTTACAAAGTCTTAACATACGTAAGTAAACTGCTTTTTCAACTATTTCGGCACGACTGATATTATGATAAAAATTATAACTAAAAATTAATATCAATCTCGTTAGGTTTCATGATGATTACGATCCGAAATACTTGAAAAATTATTCTTGTTTTATTTAAAATATAAAAACAATTTTTTTAATAATCATCATCTTAAATACTTAATACTGTATTTGTTTTTTATAATCGCTAAATAAATTTTAAAAACGTGAAAAATGTCTGAAAAAATTTACAATTGTACATTCAATTTAAATATTAGTGTGTTTGAGTTGTATGCTTGACGTTATTTAACTCATTTCTCTCGTCGTCATCGCCAGAATTTCTACACTTCACTTGAAACGACCTCTTTGTATTAGAATTTCCAGCCGTCTTAATCGGAAATTGTCAACTGCAGCAAAGTAGACTAACGTAATTCTTCCTTTTATTCAGTTTTCTTCGTTTTATAATTAAACTCCGCCACCACGTCGCCGCCATCATTCTTCTCGTTGGCTCTCGCAAGAAAACGCATAATAAATCGACTTGGAAACTTTATTATTACATTTCCCGTTTACCTCTCTTCTCGTTTTTCATTCCACTGCCTCTTTACCCCAAACTCGATTCTCTCGACCCTCCGCTCGTTTCGTTATTTTGTTTTATCGCCAAGTAACTCAAATTATTTCACTCGTCTCCAGCTCACAGTGTGCGTGTGCTATGAAAGGAAATACATATATACGTAAGAGAGCACGAGAAATATATCGCATAGAAGAAGAGAGGCGGAGAAAGGCGTAGGGGCGGGTGGCCAAGAGGATGCGGCACGTCAAAACTAAAGTTCGCCCTCTTTTCCACGGGTTGTTCGCTGCTCAGCTATTGTGTATGTTAGCACCCGCTGCCCTTGCTATCTAACCCCGTGTCCTCCGCCGTTGCTGAATCTAAAAACCCTTCGACTTGCACGCGGGCTTCATTATTCATACAAAAGTTTTCTCGTCAACATTTTCCTTTGCCTGTACTGCTGCCACCACTGTTATTTTCCCGACGTTCAATTTTTGCTTCCTTTTGCCCCCAAGGACTTCTCGAACCATTCCCACACAGAGACGTCGCGCATAAATTATCTATCGACCCTGACTGTCACATGTCCTAACTTCAACAAGTATATCTCCTCTCGTGTTTTATATTTTTCGTCGGTTCTACACAAACAATAATATTCGCCGTACATATTCCACACATGCATGATGAGTAATTATAAAATTACATCATATGATAAACACTGATAAATTCATTTTTTACTGAAATTTATCCTAATATAAATCCTACCAAAAAATTTTTACCATAATATTTAAAATACGAAAAATGAAAAAAATTACTTATAAGTAACTGTAACTGTCTTTCCATTGATTTTTAGACTTTCGATTTAATAATACTCAAAAAGTATCATCTTTTATTTTAATTCAAAATAAATTTTTTACCAAAATTTTAACAAAAATAAAATATTTAACATCACATAATATGTTTATAATAATTAATAAATAAATTGTTTATTTAAATAGTAATAAAAATTTTAGGTATCTTGGTCAACGGCGCCGTTTTGTTGTATTAACTAAAAGCGTGAAAACGATCAAGTTAAGCAACAATCGGTGGCACGAGTGATTGGATGGGTGAATATTAATTTGAAAAAAAAAATTTAAAAAAAATGTTTGGGTTGGGATTATGAAATATTAATTCTGTAAGATAGAAATTAATTCTCTATGTTTCATATAAATGTGAATCAAGACAATTTTAAACGATTCACGCCTTGTTGACGGATATCATAAAAAATACTGAACGTATCTAAAAAAGGATACGTCAGTAAATACAGTTCAAACATTTGATGAAGTAATTATAATCCGTAGAGGACAATATGGCATAATAATATCAATGGTTTTAAAAAACGTTGATAGATTTTCCCCTTTTAAAAAATATAAAAAAAAAATTCGAACACTAAAATTGTGTTCATAGTTAGTATATCACTTATCCATCCAATCACTCGTGCGTGGAGACACCCGTTGACCACCACCTTTTTAAACAAACTTTTAAGATAATTTTTCTTACATTTATCTTGGAAACTATTAAACATATTTAATTTTCGTAAAAGGAAATATTATTTGATTAAAAAAACTCTACAATAATATGTAGATAAATTATTTTTGTTTTCATCCTATCAGGGATAAAAATCTAAAATTTGATTTTCTTCAATAGGGGTCTCTATTTTTAGTTTGGTAGTATGATAGAAAAAAAAATTCCATACAATTTTATAAATATTTAAATACGTTTAACTGTTTGCGTTGGAAAATTGTTTAAAGTTTTGAATTCAACATACAATTTCATCATCATTAATTATTAATAATAACGGAGGCAACAATAATTTAAATCAATGGCCCCATAAATAATTTTATATTATATCAAAAAAATGTTATTTTTAAAACTGAATTTTAGATTTTTTACCACTGAAGGAGCGAGAACAAAAACAATCAATTTAACTACATAGTATTCTACAGTTTTCTGAATCAAACAATATTTTCTTTTAAGAAAACTACAAATTTTTTGGAAGTGTCCTATCCTCAATCGAAAACCATTTATACATAAATATACATATATATATATATAATTTAGCGTATTCGTTAATAAACTATACTAAGACATAAATTAAATTATCATGTCCAGCAAGAAAATCAGTGTACTATAATTCTTCATATAGTTTTCGATTTCCGTTCGTTAATTTTCAGTGCATATGGTTCACTGATTTGTTCTCCAATAAGTTAAGATTATTTTTATCGTTATTTGAAAAATTGTTTTTTAACAAAATCATTTTAAAGTTTTGTAAATTGACGAAAAGCTTAAAATGGTAAAATGAACGATATTTATGTGACTGTCTAACACGTTTATAGGCAATATAATGCCTACAGTAACATTTTAAAAACTATTGTTTTAAAAGTAGATTGTATCCGAATAAATGGATTTTATTAATAGATTACATTTAAAAAATGTCCACATTTTTATATTCATTGAGAAAAAAAATTATATCTTTTGTTTATACATTTTTATTAAATATCATTAATGGTTAATATTTATGATTCAATAATTGAAGTTAATCATAATTATTAAGGTAAATAAATATTTAAAAATGATAAAGTTAACCCGAATTTCGTTTAACCAATTACAGTTTGAATTACTATTTTTTCATGATGGCTTTTAACTTTTAATCAGATAGATTTTATTAGCTACCCCCCAAAAAAAAGCAGTATATACAGTATTATAAAAAATAATATTTTGAAATTAAAAATAAAACAATTAGAGATTCAGAAATGACTAAAGTAATATTTCTTATATTTTGTGGATAATACAAATTCGATGGTTAACAGTTAGTACAGTGCAGCACACTATTTTCATTACATTATCCAAGTTGAACATTGAGCATTTTTTATTATATTACCCTCGTACATAGTGAACTGATTTAAAATAGAAGCGATTTTGAGATTGTTCGTCCAAATTTAAATTAATTACGTTTGGGGTCGTGTGTCTTTTAAAGTGAATGGCTGCATAAAAGGCTTTTAGAATGGTACGAACATCGCTGTCGTGGAATTTCAGGGTATGCAACCACTCACACACACACGCAGACACATGGGAATTATTTACGTAAAATAATGGTATACTTTGTACGCATATATACTTTCTTTTGGGTGCTGAGAGAGGTTCAAACGTCGTAGTCGTCGGTAATAAAATTATACCAGCAAAAGAGATGAAGGCAGGGCGGTAACACCTTGTCCATGACCGTAAGTGGCGGTGTAGTGGATGGATGATAAGAGTGTAGTTAGTCGAAGACGGAACCGAGGGTGTGTATGTACAGCACATATACACACACAATGTGAATCCAGCAGTAGTTTTAAACTTCCACGTCGTGTGCACCGCCCGCACCCTTCTTTCGCCGAATGAATAATGGCGGCGGTGATAGCCCGGGGGTAAAGAATCCCCTATTTTCTTTGCGCCGCCCCATGCTCTGTGAATTCTTTAGAAAGGCGGGCGATGTGCATGTAGTAGACCCGGTAGACCAGGGACTATACCGGGAGATGTATACGAATTCTTGGTACAGAGAAACTACCCGCCCGCCAGTCGTATTTATACCCTTAGAAACATTTTAAAGGCATCTTTACCCCGGCGACCACGTTATCGGCGGATTCGCACGCGCGGACGACGGTGATATTACGGGCGGCGGGACCATGACCCGTATGAGTTACGGCCTTAAGGTTATAAACCGTGCCAAGAAATCCTATTAAGTATTATATGAAATACTTTGACCGACCTCCATTACTTTCTATGCATTTAAAATTTACGTCCTGCACCCCAGTTATATGTGGTGTGTGTGTAGGAATTTTAAACGATAACCATATTCCAATGTGCCACTCGTGTAATAATCAATTTTTTGTGGAAAAATATCAACTTTCATTTTATTTAAATATTAGATTATTTCTTATTCGTCGGGAGTTTTTTCGTACAGTAAAATGTATTCATCGATTTCCAAAAATAAATTTATATGTAGTTAAATAACAATTTTTTTTTGTCGGGTATCGCATAAAATCTCTTCTATAAATAAAATTAAATATTTTCCTATGAGTTTATTGTTGCTTAATTGTAATTATCATTGCGTACAAAACTCGTTTAAGTGGCAGTTATAGAAATAATGTGATTACTATAACTCCTACTTAAATGTTTGACTGCATTAATAGAATCACCATGTACAGCAATGAAATGTTTGTTATTATTATTATAATTTGTAATTCTATAAAGAAAAAAGAACACCTAAGAGAAGAAATGCTTATAATTTATTGAACTCTAAATTATTTGCGAGTACTTGAAGAGTTAATTGACTTTCAACAATTCTAATTTCGATAAAAAATAGTTATGAAATTTATTGTGTGCGTGTCCAGCACTTTTTTACTGGTTTTTTATTATTCGACATAATGCACATTC